ATAGTATATATAAAATTTGAAATTTATGTTTCAATTTATTTTTCTTCTTGTTTTAATTCATACTACCAATTTTGTAAATGATAATATTATAGGGACAAAATTTACAACATGATAATAAAATTTTATATTCATTGATTATCATGAATTAACTAACATCACTCTAGATTAAGAAAATGAATATATTTATATTACAACGTTAGATGGTAAATAATTTTGATCCATATAATATGATTCTTAGCTTATGTAAAACAATATATTGAGTCTCAATATCTACTGTGGCTCTGTTTGGCAGAACTTATTTAGAAGCTTATAGCTTATTTTAAGCTACTAATAAGCTATAAGCTCTGTTTGGTAATGTTCCCAAAATAAGCTCCTATCTTAAAATAAGAGCTTATTTTGGAACGCTACCTTAAGTAGCGTTTCAAAATAAGCTCCTAGCTTCTTCACTTTTTTTTTTTCATCTTTATCCTTATTATTTTAAAGGAATGACATAATTTACCCTTCCCAATTAAAATCATTTTCTCTTCTTTTTTATCCGCAACTTTCACCGTAAATAATAATAATAATAATAATAATAATAATAATAATAATAATAATAATATTATTATTATTATTATTATTATTATTATTATTATTATTATTATTATTATTATTATTATTATTATTATTATTATTATGAGATTTGCAATAATATTGCTACTTCATTATGAGATGCTAGATCATGATTATACTAATAGTTTTATTTCAAAATGTTAATTTTTTTTAAAGACAAAATATTAAATTTTAATATGTAAACAAACTAATTTAAATGTTATGAACATGTCATTTTTAGTCTTTTTACATTTATCAGCTTATCAAAAAGCTAATTTTACCAAACACTTTCAATCATAACAGCTAGCTTAACAGCTCTTCAGTTTTCAGCTCCGAGCTTATAACTTTTCAGCTTTCAGCTCCTTTCAGCTTTCAGCTCCTAGCTTATAGCTTTTCAGCTAGGTTTGCCAAACAGAGCCTGTATGTATCCATATCGCAACATAATAGTTACTTCTTTGGACCAAAAGGTTGTCTTTACTCAAAGAAAAAAGTTAATACCCAAAATGGACCTCGAGGTTTTTCTCAATTTCATCCTAAACGACTTTGATGACTTAATGTAGTATCAGATTTTTGTATTTTTGCTCAATTTAGTCCTCCGTTTTTTGTTCAGTCTATTCCGTGTTAAATAGAGCGACAATTCAGTAATGTCAATATTGACATCTCTTTACTCAAAGACTTGCGAAGTGCGAAATCACTTTTCTTTTACAAATTACTCCCAAATCCACGAATATAAAATTTGATTTGCATGTGTGGGAGTAATTCGTAAAAGAGAGAGTGATTTCGCACTTCATAGGCTGAGGCTGAGGGTAAAGAAAGACCAATATTAAGATTACTGAATTGTCCTTTTATTTAAAATCAATTTGACGTAATAACAAGCGAAGGATTAAATTGAGTAAAAGCACAAAAATCTAAGACTACATTAGGTCACCAAAGTTATTTAGGACGAAATTGAGATAAATCACTATAGTCAAGGACCATTTTAGGTATTAACTCCTTAAGAAAACTAGTACAGGAGTGAACAATTTTAGGTTGGTTTCACGTTGTTGACTCTTAGTTTAGGCGCAGATTGTGGCAAATTGTGGATAATGTTGACCACGTTTACTTCGTTTTCAAGTTAATGTTCACACATGAACATCATTCACAATTTTGGTGACTACAACTTATCCAAATGATAAAATTCTTTTCAAATGTCTTCTACCAATTTATTTCACTAATATATGTTGCAAAATCCGTTATAATTGGAAAATGTTTATAAATAAAGTATCTTGCCATTTTACAATTAACCGATGACACACCTCCCCAAGGCAAATTATTCTTGTGGACCCGGGTCCACCTTGTAAGGTGAACTCGGATCCAAATGTTCACAATTTATATACTAAATGTTCACAATTTACCTTTTAAAAATTCACAATTTGTATATTACGAACACATGATATTAACATATATGTAATTCATTACCTTATATTGTATCTACAAGTTCCAGATTATTATTTGATGACCATGTATTGTATTCAAAAATTCCCAGCCTTCTACAGATGTTATGTGTTTTGACTTAGAAACACAATTTATATTCTAGAAGTTCACAATTCCAATACTAAAAATAAACAATTTATATTCTCCCTAGTTCATGGTATAACAACTCTTAGTGGGCAAATTTTACTGTGGACCATGGTTCAAAACGGTGTCGTTTCTTTTAACGAAAAGAAACGACACCTGTTCCGCATAATTATTTCTGTTTATAAAACATATTTAAATTAGTTTCTTTTTATATATATTGTAGTTTCATTTCAGCACAGCTAAAAGTTTCATTTTGTTTCAACTACAGTTTCATTCGACATTATACATACAATAGTCTTATTACAGTGAGACATGTTATTGAATTTCATTTTATAGTTGTATGATGTGAAGAGTTTTAATATGTTCAAACTCTTTTGATATTATCTAATTAAACAAATTAAATAATATCAATATTATCTAAAATGTACCAAGACATAACTATATATTCTTACTCTCAAGATATATTTGAAAATTTCATATCAATTTTGATATATCAAATTTTCAGTATCTACAGTTATATAATCTTATTTGGTTCAAATTATATAATTACAGTAATAATTTTAAATTATCATACTTCAAATTTGAGGTAATATTTGAAGTAATCTGATTACTTTGATTCTCTGAAGTATTTGTAGATTACTTTTTAATTTTTTTTAAGTTTTTTTTTTTTTTTAATCTATAGAAAGGAGATACCCAGATTACCTTTTAGAGTTAATACCACATGAAATCCTCCGAGTATAGTGGTTTTGCCACGTTTAGCCCTAAACTTTCAAATTGACCATCTGTGGTTATTCGACTTTTAAATTTAACCGTTCGTGGTCTAAGTTGACCACCCATAGTCCTTCAACTTTAGAAATTTAACCAACCGCGGTCCTCTTGAAAGGATTATGATTGGTTAAAATTTAATAGTTGAAGGACCATGGGTGGTTAATTTGGACCATGAATGGTTAAATTTGAAAGTCAAAGGATCACATATGGTCAATTTGAAAGTTTAAGACTAAACGTGGCAAAACCACTATACTCGGAGGACCTCAGATGGTATTAACTCTTACCTTATAATATTTAAACTTTACTTTCACTAATAATAATAATAATAATAATAATAATAATAATAATAAGAGAATTTTTATAATGTGATAAGCGTACCATATAAAATAAGCTACTCTATCATCTAGGGTAAGTTATTATACCATGGCGTACCATTTTGGTCCTAGTATTATTATGATATGATTATTTTTAGTTCTTCATCAATAAAATTGTTAAAATATCAATAAATACAAAAATATTTCAATCTTTTTTATACAAAGTAGGTTGAACCGCAATATTTTTTATGTTTATTATTTTTTTTATAAAAAAAATCATAATTAAAGACCGAAATATTCCTGTATTTAATAATATTTAAACTGTTTTGTTGATAATGACAAAAAATGATCATGCAACAATAATACTATAACTAAAAATGAATATTCTGTGATAAAAAAGACTTAAATGGACGGTCACCTTATAGGACAAAAAATGAATTTAACTCATATATATATATATATATATATATATATATATATATATATATAATAGTAAATTAATTAATATAATATAAAATTTAATCCTCCACAATCATAACTAAACACATAAGTCAATTTTATATTTTTGTAACCCCATATTATTTTTCAAAAGGTAATACTTTGATTATATAAGTGTTACATAAAACATGTTTTTTTTTTTTTTTTTTTTCAATTTGATTATTATATATATATATATATATATATATATATATATATATATACATATATATATATTGGATGTAAACCACACAATGTGGTCCGTGTTTTTCTCTGTCCGTTCGCTCCGAGAGGTACAGAGGCCGGCCCAAAGGTGTTTTTCTCTGTCCGTTCGCTCCGAGAGGTACAGAGGCCGGCCCAAAGGGAATGCTTCTCTGTCCGTTCGCTCCGAGAGGTACAGAGGCCGGCCCAAAGGGAATGCTACTGACTCTATTATATTATTATAGTATCTGTTCAAACATACTTTCTCAACCTAATAAAGTACACTGAGTCAACAACGCCCCCACTGAGGCTCGACCTCATGACCTCTCACATGGGAGAGGTCACTACATGCCATCTGATGTCAATTTGATTATTATTATTCATAAAGAAACAGACAAAGTATATGCTAAGTCCCTGTACTGTAGCATTTTGTTCAATTTAGTCCCTATACTTTAATTTTGTTCAATTTAATCCCTGTATTTTAAGATTTAGAACAATTAAGGACAATACTTAACGCCGTTAACTTTTTCTGTTAAGTTAGTCCACTTGGTGTTGGATTTTCCATGTCAGATTGTGTGAAACTTGAGGTGGATAGAGCTACACCAGACGAACCAGCAACTTTTCATAGAATGTATATTTGTTTTCACACAATTTGACATGGAAAATTCAACGCCACGTGTACAAACTTAACTAAAAAAGTTAATGGTGTTAAGTATTGTTCTTAATTGTTCTAAATCTTAAAATACAGGGATTAAATTAAATAAAATTACGGTACAAGGATTAAATTGAACAAAATGTGACAGACCTAGTATGTATTTTGACCTAAAGAAACAAACAGGCAAGCGACTTATCCGTTTTACTAAAAATAATAATAATTGTTGAGATGTTTTATTTTAATAAACAAAATAAAATTAATAATAATACATCATAATTTATAAACCTTTGAAATGTGAGGGAAAGAGGCAAGGGGGAATAAATTATGATGGCCGTTAGATGGAGGGAGGGGCTTCTGAGTTGAACGGTGATCCTTGTTTGTATGATTGTATGAGGCCACCTCATAGAAAGACCAAGGTGAAGAAAAGAACCTCTTTTTCAGTGAAAAGGGGCTCCCATTGGTTCTTCGGAATCGATCAATATCGATCTCTCTCCAAATTTCTTCTTTAAGTTTCTTCCATCTCCCTTTCACAATTCTCTTGATTCTTCTTTCTCTTTCTTTCTCTCGGATCAGGAGGGGAAATTGAAAGAAGAGTTAAGAATGGTGGATCCGCTCCCCCATTCCAATTCCAAGATATGATTTTGGACAAGAATTGAGGGAAAATTTGAATTTTTCCTCCAATTCGACGAGTGGGTGTTTGAGATAACAAATCTTTTTGAAGAATAATGGAAATTGATAGCATTGAGTGCGTGTCCTCATCGGACGGCATGGATGACGAAGTGACCCAATCGTCTATAGCCTCGCATCATCCTTACAGCTCTTCAACGAAGCCTCCGATTAACATTTTATCTGCCGGAATTGCGCCTACCAGTGTTCATGAATTGCTGGAGTGCCCCGTTTGCACCAATTCTATGTACCCGCCCATTCATCAGGTGTCTTATCCTAGCTACTTATTTATTCAAATTGTCTCTTTCTTATTTGTCTCATTAGTTTTCCTTTGAATTCTAATTGGGCATTCAATTTTGTCCGCTAGTTAGACTTGGTGGTGTTTGTGTTACTTGTTCTGAATTTGATGTGGTGGGTCAATGAACGATTGAGGGTTAGATTTGGTTCGATTTCAAGTCTAAAAGATGAAATTTTGCAATAGAAGCAAGGTCCACTCATTTATTTTACAAGCCTGTCATTTGAAATGATTGTGTTTTTGTTGGGGGAATAGTTTATCCAAACAAGTCCCCTATGGATTTTCTCATAAATGAAGAACATTAATCTTGTTAAGGTAGATGTTGTGTTGGACTTGACCTTTGGGAGAAATGAACACATATTTCTGCTCAAATTGAAGATATCTTATTGTTATAAGTTTTCACAATATTCCTTTGAATTGATACTGTTTCCCACGAGGACCCATATTGAGTTGTTGTTAACTGTTTATGCTACAATTCTTAGTGAGTGTGAAGGGTAATGATAGTTCGGTGAAATTTTGCGTTTTCAGTGTCAAAATGGGCACACGCTGTGTTCAACCTGTAAGGCAAGGGTGCACAACCGATGTCCTACTTGCAGACAAGAGCTCGGTGATATTAGGTGCTTAGCTTTAGAGAAGGTTGCGGAGTCACTTGAACTTCCCTGCAAATATTTTTCATTGGGATGTACAGAAATATTTCCGTATTACAGCAAACTTAAACATGAGGCGGTTTGCAATTTTAGACCGTACAGTTGCCCATATGCTGGATCGGAGTGCTCAGTTACTGGGGACATACCTTATTTGGTTTCTCATTTAAGAGATGACCACAAGGTTGACATGCACACAGGATGCACATTCAACCATCGATATGTTAAGTCTAATCCTCGTGAAGTAGAAAATGCCACATGGATGCTGACTGTAAGTTGTGAAATTCGTAACCTAATTCTCTTCCTTCTTATGTTGCTTAGTATCAGATATCTCTACAATTGTTTTTTTTTTTTTTTTTTTTTTGGGCAAAAAGTGTTCCAGTATCCCTTATTTTCTATGCAAGTTGCCAAATAATAGAAAACATTTCCAAAATATTATTTTTACAAGCATTTATGATACAAATATTTTGCGAAAAACAACACCAGAATGGCAATTAATAGAGCAATGAAGTTCTAAAAATTTATTAAAATTTAGTGCCACAGTTTTAATTGATTTTAGCACAACCCTAGACCCCTACCTAAACAACTTAAAGGCTTGAGTTGGTCCATCTGAAAGTACAACATGTAGAAAAGTGGATATAGGAAGATGAATTTACAGTATAGCATACAACATTTTAATAGAGTGCTTATGCTGCATTTTAGCAATGAATGCCAGATTATTAAAATGCAACATTGGGATACTGTGTCAAATATTTAGGGTGCACTTGTCACATTTCTGTGTCATTTCTTCACTCTAAACCACCATTTTGCTTAACATATTTTATAAGATTAATATATAATTCCTCTCTAATATTCTTTTTACTGATTTAAAATAGCAAGATATCCCAGTTGCTCTACATGAATATGTTTACAATCACTATGCAGTAACTCCCCAGATGGGTTTCTCAGGATTTGAAAAAGTTGGGGAACCAAGTCTGCTGCTTAAGTTTTTGAGAATGACCTGCTTAATTTGTGCAGTGTTAATTTTCATTAGAGAAGATTTCAATTTTGGTCATATGACGATAGGGGCTTTGTTAATTTTAGCACCTGACTTTCAAAAGTGTCAATTTAGTACCTTGAATATGTAATTTTTGTCAATTTTGGTCACTCCGACCAAATTACAGGCCAAATTTCGCCGGAAAAAAAGACAATTTTAACAGACTTCAAAAGACGATTTTGCCCCTCAGATTATAGACTAAATAAAGGATTAAGTTTTTCTGGCGAAATTTGGCCGGTAATTTAACCGGAGTGACCAAAATTGATAAAAATTGCATAGTCAAGGTACTAAATTGACACTTTTGAAAGCCAGGTGCTGAAATTAACAAAGCGCCTATAGTCATATGACCAAAATTGAAATTCTCTTTTCATTATTTATTTATTACCTCTACCATGTTTCTGTGCGAGTATAAATTTTTTAATTTTTTCATATCTTGATCTCTTTAGTAAATACATTTGTTTCTTTATTTATGCTTTCATATAATATTTTTTTTTCTCAATGATCCTAGTAGTATTTTTGAACCCAAATATGCATGCACTTTCTTCCAAGATAATGGTGTAGTACTACTGGTTTTTGGCCCCATGGATGTGCAGCTTTTGTATGAAAATATAGGTTAGAAATGTTAAAACTTTTCTGTAAGGGAGGAGGGATTTAACACATCTTAGTTGAAATTGTTGGAGCAAGTATCTATTGTTTTGTGTTTGGGGCGGGGTAACCCTAGCCAAGTTGGCTAAGGATACAAACTTGTAACCACTAGGTCACGAGTTCGAATCCCAGCCTTCTTGGTTTGAGGCTTTGAGCCGGTCAACTATGGGCAACCTAAGCTGGTTTACCCCCTTTTGGTCCTTTGCTGGGCTAGGGTCACAAGGTGAGGTTTATCGAGTGCACACCCTCAGTTAGTAGCTGCGGGTTTCCCTCATCACCCGAAAAAAAAGAAGGAACTTTTTTGTTTTTTCGTGGGTTGTTATTATTATTATTGGTTTAAATAATCATCTTTCAACTCTCATATCATTGGATTTGGATATGTTGTTTAGTCTTGTTGGTTCTCCTTTTTCCTCTGTTAGGTTTTTCATTGTTTTGGTGAGTACTTCTGCCTTCACTTCGAGGCCTTCCAGCTTGGCATGGCTCCTGTATACATGGCTTTTCTTCGCTTTATGGGAGACGAGACTGAAGCTCGCTCATACAGCTACAGCCTGGAGGTAGGAGGAAATGGTAGAAAGCTCATCTGGGAGGGTACTCCAAGAAGCGTCCGAGATAGCCATCGCAAGGTGAGGGACAGTCACGACGGTCTTATCATTCAGCGTAACATGGCACTTTTCTTTTCCGGCGGGGACCGGAAGGAGCTGAAGCTTAGAGTTACAGGGAGGATATGGAAGGAACAGCAAAATCCAGATGCTGGGGTGTGCATTCCCAATCTCTGTAACTAAAGGGTTTTTTTTTTTTTTTTTTTTTTTTTTGGATTTTCATTTTTAATTTGGAGTGAAGTTTTTCTTGTCCCTGCAAATTTGGGTTTAATGAGTGTGGCTTTACTGGCTTTGATCTTGATCTTGTGCTGTGGCTGAGTAAAGTTATGGTTTGTGAATGTAGTAGGCCTCAAGATGTCTTTGTATCCATTTATTTAAACAACAATACAAATGAAACCTCATCACCAAAGATCATTTATTGCACTAGTTCTCAATCAGATGAGTTTGCTATTATTGAGCTGGCTATTGAATTAACAAAAAAAAGTGTAATTCAACTATCGAACATTTTAAAATCATGCAATTAGTCTCAAATAACTAGTTGGCTGCTTTACGGTTTCTAGTTGGAGACCGTCACCCTTGCAATTCTAGGTGGTAACAGCAAATTGACGGTCTCTAGTCGAAGGAAGTTGCCCTTGTAGTAATTGGTCATTTGGGGTTGATTGCATGATTTAAGAATGTTCTATACTCGAATTGTATTTTTTTTTGTTAATTCAGTGACTAATTTGATGATGACAATGATAACGATGATGATGAAGACGATGATGACGAATATTATTATTACTACTAGTTTTTATACCCAATGATTATTTTTAAATAAGTACTTCAAAGTATATTAATGCATTGACAAAATTCTGAGAATGGTGAGTCTTGTTCTAAATAATTAAAAGAAGATTAATTAAACGATAAAAAAAGAAAAGAAAAAAACATAACCTAAATTTGTATTTAAAAAAATGCAAGAAAATGATTTTCAAGATTCCTGATTTATAATCTTTGATGCTCAACTTTGAATGCTATGTATTTAGTCAGGTTAATTATTTGACTAAAGTTTATGTTAAATTTTATATTGTATTTTGTAAATACATTTTAACATATTCGTAGTATATGTTTAACAATTATGCCAACTCTGATTGTGTTGGAGTTTGAACCTAAAGATATTTCTGATAGAAATCTTACTCTATATAATAGCAAAATGTTTTTTGCCACATCAGTTTCCCGCCTAAATGAAATTGCATTATTTTAAGGTAATAATAAATGAAATTGCATCACTTTGAGAATCATTTTCCCTTAATGAAAATTTAATTTCATTAGTTTTTAAATTTCCGAATTGCAAATCATATTAATAAATGTTTTCCGAATTTTTTAAATTTCTTTTATAAAAATGTGTGTGTGTGTGTGTGTGTGTGTGTGTATATATATATATATAATTATTTTAATATAAAATTTTAAAATCTCATGTGGTATCTAATAACACAATTCTTTATAATATATGCTAATAGTATGTGATGTTAGATACAACAACCAATTTAGTATTGTTAAAGAAAAATACATTTCAGAATGAATTTTTATTTCATAATTAATATTTTATTTTATTATTTTTAAAATTTTATCAACAATAAAGTTATTTAAATTTTATGCCGTGCATCGCACGGGGCAAAAACTAGTTAATGATAAGTTAGGAATAATAAATAGTTAACGGAATATTCCGTCACTAAAGTTTATACTAACAGAGTACATAGTTATTTAAGGGAAGAAAATAATATATTAAAGGGTAAATAAGAAAAAACATAAAAAAAAATACTAAAATCAAAATAATATGAACCATTCATGCCTAACTTTATTTGGCTCTTATTAGATTTACTAGTTATCACATGCGCGTTGCGCAATTAAACTAATGCCCAACGTATATTTTTAAATTAGTGTTCTTGAATTGGTTAAAGTAGTTATTATATAATAATGAGAGAAAAAAAATGATAAAATCTCTTATTTTAATAAAAAAAATAAAGAAATTGAAAATAATTAAATTATAACTACAAGTAAAAACAAATAACTGACTAACTAAAGCTAACTGTCTATCATGATCAACCAGTGGAATAAAACCGTTGGATAAAGAGTACAAGAAAATTAAATTAATTTTTCTTTGTGCGCTTTTGTTGAGGCTCAAAATTGTCTTCATCTTCTCCATCTTTAATAAAGTTTGTTTGTTTGTTTGTTTGTTTGTTTTTTTTTTTTTTTTTTTTTTTTTTTTATTGGTTGTGTCTTTACTGCATCTTGTTTACTTGTGGTAGTCAATGAGAATGATTCGTGCAATGATGTTATGGTATATGATACCATGTGTTTTGCATTGTTTGGTATAGGATTGAGATCTCAATTGTATTATGTAGTCTTCATCTTGTAAGTGGTTATTGATGTGTTGAATTCTTAGTTGTTGACCCTGCAAGATTCATATGTAGTTAGTCATAGGTTAATTTAATGTAAAACATGAGTGCTTATGGCTGGAAGTGGAGTAGTACCTGTTGTACTAATTGCATAACTTGTTTACTGGTTAAGAATAATAGTTGTTCAGCACATTTCCCAAACACGAATGCAACAAGGCATCCACTTCTATCAGTAATTTGTGATTAACTACTTTATAGTTTGTACAGAGAGGTTTGACAATGGCATTTGAGATGATTTACTACATGTTGGTCTGTAGAGTAAGATTATACATAGTAATGTCATGATCAAACATTATTGATTGAACCCGAGTTTGGTGACAAATCGAAAAATCAATCACTGGAAAATAAAAGCCAAGAAAATTAAAATGAGTCCAAACAAGTTCAACAATTAGATGAGACATCCAATATTTCCAGTCTAATTCACTTATTCTTCCTGAATATGAAATACCTGCAATCCTTAAACAAGCCCCATGAGTACAATAGCAGAGTTACACCCTGAGTTCCACATATAACTTTTCTACCATTCTAATGAGAAATAGAGTTGCATTATTAAATACGGGCAATTATTTAAACAGCCTGCTGACATGATTGAAATGCTAAAGCCAAAAACAAAACATGAAATAATATAATTAGCAAAATGATACCTACCTTCATAATCACAATTCACAACAGAAAGCAGCTCATGAGCTCATCTTCAGAACACTCTGACTGAGTTTGAACATAATAATAATAATAATAATAATAATAATAATAATAATAATAACAATAACAATAACAATAATAATAACAATAACAATAATAATAATAATAATAATAATAATAATAATAATAATAATAACAATAATAATAATAATAAAATGCTCATGCAAATTCAGAACTAAAACTCCATTTACAAACTTTTTAAAGTCAGCAAAGATACATCATTATTCATGTTGTACACATCTTTAAATCTTTTGAAATTGATCATTACATATTTTAGAAGAAAGAGTATTATTGTGTTGCAAACATTCTTGAGAAGTTTCTCTTGAGTAATACTTCTGAATGACCTTTATTCATTTTGAAATATCATAGAATATTTTTTAAAATTGCATAATATAGTGATGTATAATCAAATGCATGTAAACAAGTTAGTTCTAGTGTACATAAGTTGAAGAATTGAATTCATAGTAAGACAAATTTAACTATTCAAAAGCATACCAGCATTGACGTCGTGAGTTAGTGTAGACTTGGCTACATTAATTTTCTGTTGACGCTTTTCGTTAAGATCATCTAGCATTTGTCGTTTCTTAGCAGGATCAATTGTTGCGTACTAGATTCAGGGATTTCAGAATCACGAGACTCCATAACAGAGCTATTTAAAAACAATAAATTCAAACCCATGAATGAGAATACAATTATGAATTCTGATCTTTCTACATTATCAAAAATAAATGTCTACATTAACAAAAATAAATAAATAAATAAATAAATAAAGGAGTTTGCAATACAAAACAGAAAAACAATTTATTATATTAAATTATAGGTGTGAATAATAGAATATGATCAACCTTATGAATAACTCCCAACTGAATAACTCCTTCTCTAACAGCAATCAAAGCTATGGTCAGAAACAAAATATATTTTTTAGAAAAAAAAGTATATATTATTAAAGTTGGTATTTGGGTAATGAGTTTTATGAAGACAAATTAAACCTTAATACCAGATCGAAACTAAGCTTCCCGGCCAAGTCCTTGGATGCTGTGAAAAAAAAAAAGACAGAAATTTAAGGATTTAGCATTTTGTTAAGGAACAAAAACATGAAATGGTAAAGCTAGCTATTATTGTAGGATTAATAAGGGTGGCATGTGGTTTGATTTCTTAGCTTGATCCTTTGACTCTTTATACATTCATTCCTTTTATTGTGCTATTTATCAATTGATGATTGAAGTCTATCTTCACATTTCAGTCTTTTTCCCCTCATTCAATAAGTATTAGATGAGCTGATGTTGGCCTACAACCATCAGAAGCAATAGTTTCCCAAAGTGCCTTTACTTTACATCAATGTGTTCTGATATATATATGAATAATGTAAACATACCAACACCTAAGATAAGGCTCACTAAATTTACTAATGAAATAATGCATGAAATAAGTTCAGATTTATTAATGTTTTTGCTTATATTGGCTGTGTGGAAAGAGTAACTAAAAAATAATTCAAGACACTAATAATAAATAAGCAAAAATGTGAAGCAGATAATGAGTGGACACAACACAAAGAGATAAATGTAGATAATACACACATATATACATTCCCTCTCTAGATGCAAGGAATGTGTTGATAAACACAAGAATAAACATATCAGATCAAAATTAGCAGAAAAGGAGATGAAATAAACATCAGTAGTTTGCCCTAAAGTTCGTTCTCAATTTACAAATGTGCTTCTCCTAACTGCCATTCAACTTCAGTTAAACTACAAATTTACCACCGCAATTTCAATTGACAGAATCTGTTAAATTTAACATTCTAAACTTGCTAAATCTAAGAAGAATGAGGGTATATTAGGATTTTACTTGGGCATTGTACAATTAGAGGAGCGCAAAGTACAATCATTTAGAGCATATTGATGTACCGACATTTTTTAGTTCGTTCCCATTAAGGGTCTAACAATATTGGCTCTTATTAAAGTTGTAGATTATATATATATATATATATATATATATATATATATATATATATATATATATATATATAGGTGCATGAATGTTTACGGGTGATTTTTACGGGTACTAACTACCCGCTGAACTCCTCCGCAAGAACAAAAGCGATGCCAAACAGAACGAACACAGATCAATGAATGTTAACAAGGTAAAATTACATGCACTTGTGGAAGTAGGTGCACTTGTAAGTAATTTTACCTGCACTTTTTACTTGCAAAGGTGCACCAACTACTTGCACATATAACACATTTACATGCACTAAATGACACGTGGCGTGTGCTGGATGATTCTTAGTTCTCTCCTGGGCGAGCAGTTTGCACCTGAACGTGATCATATATATATATATATATATATATATATATATATATATATATATATATATATATATAGATTAAAGATGGGATCCGCAACGGAGGGACCATTAGACCAAAGAGTGATACACCCTCAAAATCCAAGCTCCACTTAAAGAAAACCGTAGATAGCAAAAATGAAAAATGTATAACAAGAACATCTAATATTGAGTTAATTATACAGAATTTGATAAGCAACATTCATCATATTCAAATAATCTTTCAAATCTGTAGAAGAGAGGAGAAGATGAAAAAAGAACATTGTTTTAAAATTGCTATAGCAATAGATAATTTATACGAAAGTGATAATAGAAACCGTACATTTATAAAAAATTACTTATTTATTCCCGACCACCCGTGGTCAAAAAATTTGGAACTCGCCCAATTGTTCTGCTGGCCGTTTTTGTATATATACACATACACATAATGAACATAATTCAGAACTCGCCCAATAATGCACAGAATTCATGTTTATAATACACATACACATAAACATGATATAATAATCATTAATTCTGTGTATTATGTTAAGTGTTTATGTGTGCTCAGCTATATAATACACTATTATATTTTCCACACTTTTTGATCTTTTTGATGATTTTTCCTGCAAAATTCAGTTTTATGTAAAGATAAAAATATATTTCTTTGCTTAATATTAAACATTTGACTGCATAGCGCAGTGGATTAGCGCGTTTGACTTTGGATCAAAAGGTCGTGGATTCGACTCCCACTGTGGTCATTTTTGATGTGTCTATCCCTTGTTCATTGCGTGGATTGGATGACAGAAATAAACATGCAATTTGGGCCCAGAACAGTTTTGTAGCTTTGATGGGGAAGAAACAGTCTTCGCTACTTTGATGTCGGGTTTCACAAGCTCCCCGGCCGCAGCCGCAGCGACGTTCGGACTGGTTGTCTTAAGCTCGGAGGGATCGTTTCGAGCGGCCGGCTGCGGTCCACTCCAAAATTGCCTTGGCCCTCTTCGAGCGGAAGCCATGGCTTGCAAAGAAGCACAAAATTGCCTTGGCCCTCTTCGAGCAGAAGCCATGGCTTGCAAAGAAGCACTATCTTTGCAGCCGGCTAGCAATGAGTTCAGATTCGTACACATTGCTTATATCTTTTCTTTAGATGATATAGATTCGGTTATGACTTATCTTATGTTGGTTTAATTGTTAGTGCTTATAAACAGTTATTCTAGCTCGTCTTTTGATTCTATTTCTATTAGTCATGTTCGAACCGGCTGGCCCATACTATGGCTAAGCAGGGACGGCCTTGGCCCTGGCTCGACCGAACAGGGCTCCCAATTTTTTGGGGGCCAATGTTTTTTAAGAAATATTATATATATATATATATATATATATATATATATATATATATATATATATAGGGAAGGGATCAGGTGCATTTGTTGCTTCCCGTGCGGATGTGCGATGGATTAATGTGCGTGAGGTTTATACTTAATGTGCGTGAGATTTGTACTTAATGTGCCTAAGATTTTTACTTAATGTGCGTCATGTTAATATGCGTGAGTTTTGTACTTAATGTGCTTGAGTATTGTGTTTAATGTGCGTGAGATTTGTGCTTAATATGCGTGAGTATTTCAAGCTGAACGTTGCTGAGGCAGTGAGATAACGTCCATGGCGAGGATCAGCAGCACACATCATGTTCTTGGCATCCCACATTTGCTGGGTAAGCTCAGGAACTGTAAGGGCACGGTATTGCTGGGATCCTCGAGAAGTGAGAGGAGCAAACCCCACCATAAAGAAATGCAAACGAGGGAAGGGAATCAAGTTGACAGCAAGCTTCCGGAGATCAGAGTTGAGTTGCCCAGGGAACCTGAGGCAGCAAGTCACCCCACTCAATGTTGCAGAAATCAAGTGATTCAGATCACCAACTAAAAAAACAAAACAAAACAAAAAAGGATTAGTGATGAAAAAAGGGATCTACACAAAGAAAAGCAACATCAACAGTGAAGGGGCAAATGACTACTGGGGAAGGGGAAGAAGCTGACATTAATATTTTCTGCTGCACTTTACACATTCACGCACATTAAGTACAAATTGCAAACACATTAAGCACAACACTCACGCACATTAATCCACCGCACATCCGCACGGGAAGCAACAAATGCACGGGAACCTTTCACTATATATATATATATATATATATATATATATATATATATATATATATATATATAATCGCACTCAGGTGCGAATGCTTCAGGCGCGAAATAAGAATGTTCGTCCACGTGTCCAGATATAATGGATGAGAAACACTGATTTTTTAAAAAAACGCGGTGGCATTTTTGTAAATAAGTGAACATCGAAGTGCAAGTAAAATGTATTACAAATGCATGTAAAATGTATTATAGGTGCAAGTAAAAATTTACACTGAGCATCAATACTTAGTTGCACCTATAGTTCCAAGTAGTTGCACACATAGTTATAAGTAGTTGCACCTAGGTGTATGAATGTTTGCGAGTGGTTTTCAGGGTATTACTACCCGCTGAACTCAGATCAATGAATGTTAACAAGGCAAAATTACATGCACTTATAGGTGAAAGTAGGTGCATCTATAGTTATAAGTAGTTGCACCAATAGTTATAAATAGTTGCACATATAGTTATAAGCACACCCAGGTGCATGAATGTTTGCGGAAAGTGAATGCTAACAAGGAAAAATTACATGCACTTATAGGTGAAAGTAGGTGCACCTATAGTTATAAGTAGTTGCACCTATAGTTATAAATAGTTGCACATATAGTTATAAGCACACCCAGGTGCATGAATGTTTGCGGAAAGTGAATGCTAACAAGGCAAAATTACATGCACTTATAGGTAAAAGTAGGTGCACTTGTAAGTGATTTTACTTGCACTTCGATGTTCAATTATTTACGAAAATGCCACCGCGTTTTTTTTTAAGTTATTAGATCTGGACACGTGTCGCGCGTTGATTCGTTCGCATTTCTCTCTTGAGCACTTATTCGCACCTGAGTGCATCCCTATATATATATATATTTATCAAGTATATAATATTTTTAAAACTTTATATATATATATATATATATATATATATATATATATATATATATATATATATATATAAAGTTTTAAAAATATTATATACTTGATAAATATGTTTTAAAAATTCATAGATTAATCTTAATTGTAACTGAAATTAAAATTATAGAAAGAATTGACATTGAAATTTTGATAAATAATTTTTTATTTAAATATACACTGAAAATGTTGTTTTTAAATAAAATTTTGTATTGTATTTTTTTTTTGTTGAATTTTTATGCATTATATTTAGATAATTTTTTTTATTATATTTCTATTTTTGTTATAGAATACAATAACATAAAGTTCAAATAGATTTGAACTCAATTACCTCAGTTATAGAGAACGTTTTATATTGTTATTTTTCAAAGATTTTTTAAAATTATATTTCTTGTGTCTATAAATAGACAGGACCACTCTATTTCTGTCCGTACCTTTTTGGGAAGTTGCTCCTCCGGCTTTCTTGGCCTCTTTGCTGAGCTAATATAGTTAGTTCGTTTTTTTTGCCTTCAAATAAAATATTATAGTGGGTTTTGTTGGTTAGTTTCAGTTTTGATTTGTGACAATTAAATTTCTTTTACTTTTGATTTTTTTTTGAATCAAAATTAACTACGTTTGGCTCCTAATTATTGAATATCTGAAACTGAACTAAAGGAACATTTGATTTAATAAATATTTTTTAGGTAATGTAACATTTCCAAAGATCTCATATAGTCATATAACATAAGAAATTGAGGAGAATGATATTTTATGAAGGTACGTGAAAAAATGAATAAAAAAATTGGAATCTTACATTACCTTGAACCAAAAAGGACATATAACATTCCAACACATTTATTGTATTGATAATAAAACTCATTCTAATTGATTGATTTATTTTTAAAATTAATTAAAATTATAATAAATTAATAATTCTCTCCCTAAATATTTTTTTCTTAACATAAATCTATTTTTGTATTTTTTACAAATAAAAATAATGTATAAAAAATATATCATGCATTAAAAAAACTATGTAAATGACACTCATATTGATATTTATTTTTATTTTTTAATTAACATATAATTACATTAAGTCACTATTACTAGTTCATTACACACACTACTACTACATGTTTATTACTATAGGTTTATTAAGTCACTACTACAAGTACATTAACTCACTCCTACAGGTTCATTAAGCTATTACTACAAATTCACTCTACAAATCCATTAATAAGTTGGTACTACAAGTTTATTAAGTCACTATTACAAGTTCATCCATCACTACTACATTTAAAAATGACTACATACATAATTAAATTTATTGTGTTATGTGAATTTTTATCTTATATATAGTTTAGTTATATATATATATTTGTTTAGAATTCGCTTCAATAAATTGAGAAAGTAGTTATGAACATATACTATATTGTAACAGAGTTAATAATACTCAAAAAAAATAAAAAATTATGAGTAATATTCTTTATCCATATTAAACATATTAAAAACAGATTATCATGACAGGATAAGAAGAACATTGTGTTTTAAAAGGAAATGAAGCAAGGAACATAAGAATTATAAATTCCCAATTAATATTTCCTGTTAAATTTGTGTACTAATGAATTATCACATAATTGGGGTTGTGAAGGCAGTAGGGGTAGTGGGATTAGATGGAAATAGCAGGCTTGGTTTCTGGAGGCTTAGGGAGTTCAACTTAGACATGCTTGGTAAATTTTCAAATTCGTTAATTTTTAAACTCTTTAAAACGGGATATTTTCTAAATGACTCTTTTTTGGAACCCCTCTTTTGTCTAGAGAAGCATCTTGGAGTCCAAAGAGGTCATCGCAAGAACTATAGATGGACAATAAAGATTTGGTAGGATCCCTGGTTATATGAGATGGAAAATCCTAATTATGTGCAATATGAAATTACCACACTGTTGGGATTTATTGGATGGATACGAAACAATCTCGGAAAACTGTGTTGGAACTTGAGTTTGAACAGGCATCAAAAAACTAAAAGAAAAGAAAAGAAAAGTCTGTGACGTGTTCAGAACACTACCCTAAAAGCAAATATGTCCGGAGACGGTGCGATTTTAAAATATTAGATTGCTTTCGAAGGGTAACACCGACAATCTTACGTTGAGCTTGCACCAGCCAACAAAGATGAACCTGCGGTATAGCTCAAATGAAAGGAAGGAGATTAATGAAGAGGTGATCAAACCTCTATGTTTAGACAAACTGGAGTGCTCATTTATATACTGCAAGGAACCAACAACTCGCCTCATTGCAGCCACAATTCAGAGAGAAAAAGGTGGATCATGAATGTGGAAATAATCCACGTCTATGTTACAGATCAGGAGGGTGTGATCTATGAAATTAGGAGGTGAAATAAAATTAATGAAAAAGAATGAAGTCTTCATTTTGAATGATTTTCCAACACACACATGCATCTTTCAAATGCAACGGTGGACTCATTGATGACAATATGGATGTGAAAAGATGGGATGTGTTCTAAATGCAAAGCAAAAAGAAGAGAATGAATAATTTCATCATGTTTAGGAACCCATTGCACTGAGGAGTGAGGACAAAAATGAGCATGAGAGCCAAAATAAAAACTAAAACGTGGAAATGATCGAGAATGAAATGAATGAATTTATAGCCAATGCAATAAAAACTATTGCCTTAGTTTTAGCTCTTAAGAAAGTAGCTCTGAATGATGTTCATGAATTTATTTACAAGTGGCACCTATTGCCTACAAGTTTTGTCTAAGATTATAGTTTTTGTCATTTAACAGCTTGAACTATATTATATTTTAGACACTTTGATCATTCAGGTGACTTTTTCGACCAAACTCTGTTTTAAGTGATACAAATATATTTCTTTGCTTAGTATTAAATATCTGATTGCATAGTGTAGTGGATTAGAGTAGTCCAAATAAAATGGACAGAGGGAATACGTGTTAATAATTATTATATCTTTACTAGAAACTAGGGTTAATTTCAGTGGAGGTCTCTTGTCTTTTGTGACAATTTTAAATTTAGTCTTAAACTATTGTTTTTGCCATTTAACACCCCGAACTGTCATATTTTGGATATTTTTGATCATTTTGATTACTTTTTCGACGAATCTATATTTTAAGTGAAGATACAAATATATTTCTTTGTTTAATATTGAACATTATCTGTCCGCATAGCGCAGTAGATTACCGCATCTAACTTCGGATTAGAAAGTCTTAATATTCTTGTATGTTGTCTCCATCTTTTTGTTTCTTCCTCAAAATTAATGCAATCAAAGAGCCGAATAACTGAATAAGAGATTAAGAGTTCACGAATTGTTGTCTCAAAGATTTGAAATTTTGCCCTAATTTTGTTTTTGCAGATTTTAAGAATTTTTGCGGATTGCATATTTGCCATAATTACTTGACCTTGCATAGTTGCAGAATTTGGTAATGGTTTACTCTTTGTTCTTTAGTAGAAGTGTTTTACTTGTCATTTAAATTGATTTAATTAACTATAACTTGTTAACTGATTGTGTAAAAAAAAATATAACTTTTTAATTGATTGTGTAAAAAAATATAGATTGTAGTATAGTTTGTTAATTGATTGTGTAAAATATATATAGCTTTCTCATTGAATTTGAACAATCTTATTCGTATTTGATATTTTGTATTTAAACATTTTTGAATTCAATTTACTTTAAAGGAAATTCTGACACCGTCCCTGGCTATAAAAGATTGGTTGGAGCATATTGCTTGGAGAGAACTGAAATTTATACTCCCTATCACAAACAATCTAAGGGCCCAGATGGTTGGTGTGTCTATCTCTTGTTCATTGTGTGGATTGGATGACAAAAATCTTTGGCATCTTTTTTGTGAATGCCCTTATGCCTCACGGGTCTGGATTATTCTGGAATGCTCTATGATCTAAATATTCGTATCATAACTTCCCATTATTCCTTTGAACAAAATGTTTCACATGCTTTTAGAGCTTCAGAGGAGAGCATGCATGCTGGAAATGTTTTTGGGGGCCATGCATGCCCCGGCCCGACAGAGCATTTGGAAGGATGTAAATCATGGTGTGTTTTTGGGGGCCATGCATGCCCGGCCCGACAGAGCATTTGGGAGGATGTAAATCATGGTGACTCAAAATCATGGTGACTCAACTGAACATGAACCACAGAGGCTAGATCGGTGCTCACTGTGCACAAGGAGCCCCCTCACCTCCCACTGCCGCTGGTGAGACTCGATCCCTGGTCATTTTTCAAAAATTTCACCTCTATGACCATTTTAGCTACCCTACTAATCATGCCATTTGGACGGCTAGGAATCATGCAATTTGGAATGGATGACTGCCGATTCCAAATGGCAATTTATATCCTACACCACGGCGCGCGTTGCACTGTGCGCCCAGATGCAAACGACGTCGTTTTAATTTTTTTTTTTTTTTTTTGAAATTTCCCGCCCAGTGTATGGCAGTTATTTTTTCTTTAAAAAAAAACCCGTGTTCAAAAATGTACATAATGTTATACAAGAATACACATAATTGTACACATGAATGTACATAATTATATAACTGGTAGGGAATACCCCGACCGACACAGCTTCACCACGACCGAGATGCCTTCGTCCTTTTCTCTTTGTCTTTGCAGGTAACAGGTCGGGCTCCTTGTGAAGAACCCGGTCGCGGTCCGACCGGGAATTGCCCGAACCGATCCTGTCGACCACCGAGCGGTAGCCCTTTGGCGAGAGAGCTGACGAAAGACACGTGGCGATTCTCTACGACGACAGACAGGGCACCCGGGAGGACGACACGTGGTGGCTACGTGGAGGACATGCCGAACGGCTGGAATCCTGTCCCCGACATAGCGGCTATAAATACCCACAGTAGCTACAGTGTGGGGGACTTTTGGACGATCGATAGGTTGTTGTTAGAGAATCCCGACCGCACTCAGTCGGTACTCAGAGCAACCAAGTAGATTGTACTTAGGGCCTCTACTATGATCAATAAAGTCATTTACTTGCTTTAATTGGTCTCGGGTTATTACATATTGCTTACGTATAATTAGCAGTATCATTTTTGGCGCCGTCTGTGGGGACCCGTGCAAGAAACCAACGTCTTGACGAGCACCCGGTCTCTATATCAACATGTATCCGTGGGCACACAACAACTTTGCCGACGACCAGGCGGATGCGGTGAGCTCCTCTGACCACTATGCTACCCAACAGCAGGGTCAGACAATGGACCTCAACCTCAACCTCTCACCACCGCATCCATCGAATGCATACCCGGCCGCCCAGCAGCCGGTGAATTACATACAACCGGGATACCCAACACCCGGTCTGCCATACCAGCAGCAGCCGATGATGTATCCCGCCCAGTATCCATACCCGGTCCCACCTCCACCGTACGGGTATTGGCCAGGCCAACCGATGTGTTACACTCCCCCGGTTGGTTATCCACCATATACGCCTGCTTATACAGCTCCAGCCGCCGCCCCTCCAGTACAACCGACCGCACAGGTAGAGCCGCAGCGTCAGTCCGCATCCCGGGCTCGACGCTCGGCTCATTCGCGGTTGGGGTCCGGGGGTGCTGATGCGATGGAGGCACCAGCTTAGGCCGTCCAAGCGGAGGACCCTGAAGAAGTTGCCCGAGCGGTAGCTTTTGATCGTCTTCGACCGGAGATGCGCCAGCGTTTGGGACCCCAAGACCCGAACCGCGGCCAAGAAGACGTACAGATGCAGGAGGCTAGTCAGGAGGCTTCATCTGGGTATAGCGGGTCGAGATCTCACCGACGGCAACGCGCTCGGGATACAGCCCAAGCCGCTCAAGCCGCCGAGCTCAACGAAACCCGAGGATTACTCTATAACCTCCAGGCGGAAGTTGCGCAGCTCAGGAATGCGTACCCTGCAACACCCCCGGTCAACCAATCGACCCTGCACCAGACGCCTTTCACAGCAGCGGTAATGGCCTAGCCTTACCCGCTTGACTTAAAGGTCTCTGGAGAGAAGAGTTACGACGGACGGGCAGATCCTGAGGCCCACGTGAATGATTTTTTCAGCAACATGATGCTGAAGGGCGTTTCGGACGCCGTGATGTGCAGGGCCTTCTACTCGACCCTCACCGGTCGGGCGGCAGAGTGGTTCCGTACCCTGCAACCGGGGTCGATCGATAAATTTGAGACCCTGGCGATCAAATTTGTGAGGAAGTTCATTACTTCCAAAGTGGTGAGGAAGTCCTACATGTATCTCGAGAAGGCCAAGCAGCTAGAAGGGGAAAGCTTGACCGATTTCCTCATCAAATGGAAAGCGGCGGTTGGGGAGGTCGAGCCTATGGACGATGCGACCGCCACCCACATGCTTCACATATCTCTCCGGGCGGGGCATTTGTATCAGGACTTCATCCTACACCCCCCGACCAGTTACGAGGAGGCCCTTCGGAGGGTCACAGATTACGCCAACGCCGGCGAGGCGAACGCCGTAAAGCGCTTGCAGGAGGTCGGCTCTTCGTCCCGTAAACCGGCCGGCCGAGCGGAACATCGGTCAGGAGATGACAATCCCCGATCCCGCACCAGGCCTGGCGAGTTTACGGCCTTGAACCGATCCGCAGCGGAGGCCATGCAGTACGCCCAGTCCTGCAATCTCATCAAACTCCCCCATCCCGATCGAGACGGCCCTGACAAGAGTAAGCACTGTGCTTACCATCGATGCGCCGGGCATGACACCGAGGAGTGTACCCACTTGCGCCAATTGTTGGAAGATCTGCTCAACAGGGGAAAATTGGACAAGTGTGTGGGGAAGAGAGAGGACAACAAGAGGAACACCGAGCGGCGGGATCATAGACGTTCCCATCACTGCTCTGATCGATCTGGGCAAGACAGAAGGGATGACCGACGGGACCCCGACCCTCCGTCTGCTAGCCGCCCGTCCGGAAAGCCTACCATCCACGTCATTTTTGGTGGACTGGAAGATGCTTCCCGACCGCGGACTAATTGCCCGGTCGCAATAGTGGATTCCCGGGGGACCGGGAAGAGGCAGAAGATGGAACCCATAACCTTCACCCTTGAGGACCAACCTACCAGCAGCGACCACGGCATGGAGGCGCTCGTGGTCACGATTGACGTTAAGGGGACAGACGTCCAGAGGGTTATGGTTGACACGGGCAGCAGTGTGAACGTCCTATACTTGGACGTGTTTGAGAAGCTTGGCCTCGACAGGAAGGAGCTGACTCCGGTCGGTGTACCACTGTCAGGATTTACCGGGGCTCTTATTTACCCCGAGGGAAAAATAACGCTCCCGGTAGAGATCGGCACACCTCCAAAGTCGATCCAGACGGAGCTGGAATTTGTTGTGGTCAACCTCCATTGCGTCCACAACATTATCTTGGGCCGACCCGCTATCATGAAGATCGGTGGGATAATTTCTATGCCCCACCTGTGCATGAAATTCCCCACCCCTAACGGGGTCGGCGTGGTCCGTGGCGATGTCCAATCCGCCCGGAAGTGTTACACCCGAGCGGTCAATAGACGTGACTCCGGTCCTTCTTCCCGGGTGAACACCATAGCCAGAGAGGAGGCTAAGGAACGGAAGGAGCAGCCTGAGCCTTCCGAAGAAATAGAAGAAGTTCCCCTATCCGAGGATCGCCCGGATAGGAAGATCAAGATTGGCCGAGCCCTCACCCCCGAGCTTCGAGCGGAAGTTTTGGCCATACTCCGGGAGTATGCTGATATCTTTGCGTGGGGGCCCGAAGACATGCCCGGAATCGATCGGTCGGTCATCTGTCACAAGTTAGCCGTCGATCCCGCAGCAAAGCCGGTCGTGCAGAAGACACGACACCTTTCCTCCGATCGCCGCGAGTTTGTCAGAGAAGAAGTCAAAAAGATGGCGGCGATCGAGCACATCCGTCCGGTGGTCTATCCCGAGTGGGTGGCAAATATCGTTCTTGTTCCTAAGCCCCCAGCATGGAGGATGTGCATCGATTTCACGGACCTCAACAAAGCCTGTCCGCTCGACCCGTATCCGCTACCAAGCATTCACCAGATGGTCGACGAGACGGCCGGGGCCGAGTTAATGAGCTTCATGGATGCCTTTAAGGGGTACCATCAGATCATGATGCACCATGAAGACGAGAGCAAGACAGCCTTCGTGACCCCGGATGGGCTGTATTGTTACCGAGTGATGCCGTTCGGCCTCCGGAACGCAGGAGCGACCTACCAGAGGATGGTCAACATGCTCTTTGCCGATCTATTGGGCCGAACGATGGAAGCTTACATCGATGACATGCTGGTCAAGAGTCGGGACCGATCCGACCACACTCGGGACCTCCGGGAGTGCTTCCAGATCATGAGGAAGTACCAGTTGCGGCTGAACCCGACCAAGTGCACATTCGCGGTTCAGACCGGCAAGTTCCTCGGCTATATGATGACCAAGAGAGGAATCGAGCCTAACCCGGCCAAAGTAAAAGCGATTCTGGACATGCAGCCACCTTCCACCGTTCGGGAAGTCCAGCAATTGACCGGTCGGTTGGCAGCCCTCAGCCGGTTCCTCTCCAAGCTAGCCGAGCGCGCTTTACCTTTCTTCAAGGTACTGCGGAAGGTTAATGGATTCGTCTGGGACGAAGAATGCCGAGCGGCTTTTGATGAGCTGAAGGAATATCTCATGTCACCGATCGTGCTCTCAAAGCCTGAGCTCGGAGAAGAGCTAGACGTGTATCTCGCCGTGTCCGATCGCGCAGTAAGCGCAGTGTTGTGCCGAACCGATCCGGAAGGGGTCCAGCGACCGGTGTACTATGTAAGCCACGCGCTACATGGTCCCGAGCTCCGGTACTCCCGGCTAGAGAAGGTCGTCTACGCCTTATACATTGCCGCGAAGAAGTTGGCTCCCTACTTCCAAGGTCGAGCAATTCGCGTGTTGACCGATCAGCCGATCGGGCCAGTCCTCCGAACTGCTTCATCATCAGGTCGCCTAGTCAAATGGGCGTTAATGCTGACCCAGTACGCGATCGAATACCGACCGAGACCGGCTATTAAAGGTCAAGCTCTTGCGGACTTCTTGGTGGAGTGCACCGCCCGGGATACCCGACCTCCGGAGGTCGCGGATCCCGAGGCTGAGTGGTGGTCGCTGGCTACAGATGGGTCAAGTAGCAAGAAAGGGGCAGGAGGAGGAGTGGTGGTCACAAGCCCGGAAGGATTCAAGGTCTATTTTGCTCTCATGTACCAGTTCCACCCGACCAACAACGAAGCCAAGTACGAAGCGTTCGTTAACGGCTTACAGTGCGCTCGGGACTTGGGGGCTGAGTACATCCGAGCTCAGACAGATTCCGCGCTCGTGGTCGGGCAAGTTCTCGGGGATTATGAAGTCAATGGAGAGCGTCTGCAGCTTTACCGAGATCTTGCCATGGAGAAACTTGCTCAGTTCCGGGGGTATACCGTCCGACACATCCCCCGATTGGATAATGCCGACGCAGATATTTTATCTAAATTGGCTCAAGATGCCCCGGAACACATGTCGAAGATAGCTCGGATTTTGGTGATCCCGAGACACAGCATTCATCGCCTACCGGTCAATCCCATCCAACCGGTAGAAGACAATTGGATCACCGATCTGAAGGAGTACCTCGAGCACGGTCGCCTCCCAGACGACCCACAGCGTGCTCGGAAGGCCAAGCTTAGAGCCCCAAGGTTCCAAGTCTTGGACGGTCGTCTATATCGGCGATCGTATGGAGGCCCCCTCATGCGTTGCTTGACCGCCTTTGAGGCCGATATAGTTATGAAGGAACTGCACTCGGGAATTTGCTCTTCACATCAAGGAGGCCGATCCCTGGCCCGTCGTATCATGCTGATCGGGTACTATTGGCCATCCCTCCAGCTAGACTGTGAAAAGTTAGCTCGGGAATGTGAGACGTGCCAACTGTACGCCCGGATGCCTGGACGACCGGCAACCTTTTATCAGCCGGTCACGACCGCAATTCCTTTCGCTAGGTGGGGGGTAGACATATTGGGCCCCTTCCCTCAGCTTTCCGGTCGGAGAAAATTTGTGATCGTCGCCATCGATTACTTCTCCAAGTGGATAGAAGCCGAGCCTTTAGCCACGATCACCTCTCAGCAATGTGCTCGTTTCCTTTGGCGAAATGTGATTTCCCGCTTTGGTGTGCTCGTGCATCTCATCAGCGACAACGGCCGCCAATTCGTAAGCCAGTATTTCCAGAACTTTTTGGCCACGATCGGGACAACTCACGTCCGGTCGTCGGTGGCTTACCCGCAGGGAAACGGTCAAGTAGAGAACGCAAACCGGACGATTTTGGAAGGTCTAAAAAAGAAGTTACACTCGGCCGGTCGTAGTTGGGCCGATGAGTTGCCATATGTCTTATGGACTTATCGGACGACCCCGAGGGAAGCTACTTTGGAGACCCCTTTCGCCCTGGTTTACGGAGCTGAAGCCCGACTCCCGATCGAGGCTTGGGTCCCGACCGATCGAGAAAGAACCTACAATGCCGAGGAGAATGAACATGCTATGGCGGTGGATCTCGATGGGGTCGAAGAAAAAAGAGAGCTAGCCGCTCGACGTATGGCCGAGTATCAGAAGCGAGTTAAGAGTTCTAAAGATGTTTGGGTCAACCCTCGTTATTTTCAGGTTGGAGATTATGTTCTGCGACGAAGGGAGGCCAGTCAGCCTTTGGAGGGCGGAAAATTGGCTCAAAACTGGGAAGGGCCGTACATCATCAGTGCGATCATACGGCCGGGTACATACCGACTGGAGACGACAACTGGTCGGGTAATCGAGGGGACTTGGAATTCCGAGCACCTCGTTATGTTTAGGCATTAAGCCTCTTTTTTGTAATCTTTGGACGAAGAGGGGGCTTGACCTGCGTGTAGGTCCCGGTCGTCGTTTGTAATTAAATTCCTATGTTTGTAAGTATTTACGATCGGTGATTGCTCGACCGTTTGCATACGGCGGCCCGATCGGTTATTTTCTATACCTCCAGTGCATGCAGATCAATTTATCTTCAAGCTACACCGACCGGGCGAATCTATCAACCGGTCAAATGCGCTCCACATCGGCGGACATTCGAGTCACGCCACTGATCGGGGAAGTCAGGAGCTCTCAGCATAATTCCCCGATCCGTCCAACTTCTGTCCACTATCGCACCCACTCGTGCCTCGAGGGCACAATCGTGTGGGGGCTGGGATGAAGGGGGTAGGCCCGTCGCTCGGTTACATTCCGACCGTAGAGGCTTGCTTGTTTTCAAAATTCGACAAGGCCCGGAGATCGGGTAATGAAGGGGGTAGGCCCGTCGCTCGGTTACATTCCGACCGTAGAGGCTTGCTTGTTTTCAAAATTCGACAAGGCCCGGAGATCGGGTAAACCCGATCGGATGGCCAGTTTGACGTCGAAGTCTCGGAGGCGCGATCGGGCCGTAAGGCCGTAGGGTCGGGTGTCGAGTGGGTCGAAGCAGTGCAAGACCGGGCCATAAGGCCGCGAGGTCGAGCATTAAGGATCAGCATTTACACGACTAAAGATAAAAATGCGAAAAGAGAGAACGAACAACACAAGTTAAACAAAAGAAAAATTTCATTCATCATCAAAAGGTGCCCGGTACAAATTCGGGACCGGGCTCCCGATTGAAGTCACTTCTTCGAGCTACCCTACTTCTTCGAGCTCTCGGCATCGGCCTTCTTCGGCAAGTCTTCTCCGCCCGAAGCGGCGTCGGCTCCGCTCACCTTAGTCCGCTCCTTCGGATCAAAAGGCGCTGGACCGGGGTCGGGTACTTCGTCGGGGAGCGTGGTCAGGACCAGTTGGAGGTCATCCCCTTCAAGGGCCTGCTCCATAATCTTCCTGGTCTGGTCCCTCATTTTACGTTGACCGGCCTTGTACGCCCACCGGCCGAACGTCCATATCAGCTTCTCCCCGACCTCTGTGCCCCGAACAGACTGGAGAAAGTGACCGCCCGACTTGGCATCTTGGAAAAGATATTGGGCGAGCTTATCCTGATCGTTTTGTCGAGCCTTGAGCTCGGCCGCCTCCCCGATCGCCTGTTGGGCGACCTGCTCGGAGAGGTCTCGCTCGGCCTTGGCCTTCTTCAGCTGAGCCTCCAGCTCCCGGATCTCCTGCAGCCGCTGGTTGGCGACCTTCTTCAAGCCCTCAGCTTCGTTGGCCTGAAGGGCCCGTTGCTGAAGAAACTGGGTCGCTCGGGAGATCTGCACATATAAAACAACCATGTTAGCCGAACGACAATACTTCGAGAAAAATCGGAAGAAGGAAAATACGCTTACCTCAGCCAGGTCGTAGCCGATCTTCTCGGCTACCTGGCTCGGGGTCAGCTTGGAAAAGTCTTCCTTGGCCGACCCGGCGTTCCCGATCCGAGCAAGGATCGACGATCCGCCTCTGCTGCCCCCGCCCGATGGGGTCGGGCTGTGTTGTTCCCGGCGCCGCTTCAAGGCCCCGGTCTCTGCGGTGGTCTTCTCTGCCACCTTCTCCTTCCCCTTCCCGACCGCCACTCGGGAAACTAAGACCTCTGAGGCGTCCACCACGAAGCCTTCGGTCGTGGTGATGGTCGACGCCCCAATGGGTCGGGCAACTGGGATCTCCTTCTCCCCGGCCGGCTTGGCTTGGCCCTTCTTCTTGCCAAGCGAAATCTTGGCCACCGGGCGCATGGGGACATCCTCATCTCCGAAACCGGCCATTGCTGCAAGTAAAACGAAGTTGGTTAGATCAAGAATAGAAGTAATCGGGTGTGAAGGGTCCGGGGTCGGGATGGCCATGAGGCCTCTACCTTTCCTCTTGCCCCGGGCGGGCATCCGCTCAATCGTCACACCCGCCGGCTCGGGTTTATACTTCTCGGGCTGGTCATAGACCGGATCGGGCAGCCGGGCCGCTTCGTAGCTCTCGGGCGACTTAAAGATATGGTATTCGTAGATCTCGCCCGAGATCTTGGCCACGGCGTCGATGAGGGTCGGCGTTTCGACTGGGATGACTTGCTTCCGAAAGCGCTGGCTCCAAATCCTCTCGACCGGGAGGATCCACGGATCATACTTCACAGAGAAGATCCGGTCCTTCCACCCCCGGTTGTTCCCGGGCAGTCCCTCGATCGAGCACCTATCGGCTCGGGACTGTGTCATCAAGAAACCCCCTCCGTACGCGGCCGCTAGCACCTTCACTTGATAGACAAAGTTGAAGAGCTCCATGGTGCAGGCCACGTCGTGTCGTCGGCAGATCTGGGGGAAGCACGCGATCATTCGATGCGCGTTCGGGCAAATCTGCCCGGGCATAACCTGGTAGTACCCTAGGAACGCGGTGAGAAGGCTCGAAAAGGGGAATGTGATCGGGGCCATTAGCGAGTCGTAATGCAGCCCGATCCATTTCCCCTGGTGCCGCTCGATGATATTCCCGAGCTGCCTGCTGGTGTCGAACTCGACCCGACCAGCGAGAACCGCCGCAATCCTGCTTGCCTCCCCGTTGGTCAGCAAGCTCTTATGGCCTTCCACGCTTTCGCTGTTGAGGAACTCGTACCCGTCCCCGCGTGGCGCGGCCGGCTCGGCCGGACTTTTTTCAACGGCCTCTGCTTCGTTAGCCTGATGTTCTTCTTCAGGCTCGACCTGAGGGTAATCCCCTATTACCCTCAGCGGCGTTCCTTGGACGTCCTCGGCCGGGGAATTCCGTCCGCTCGTAGACGTTTCTTCGTTCCCCGACCTGCTGGAGCTCGACCCCGACGTCTCCGACGAGCTGGTGGATTCTTCTGGCTCGGGGGCTCGCTCGGGCGCTGGCGGCGGTCGTTGCCCGACCTCTGGAGAATAGGACATGATGTCCACCTCCTCGCTGCTTTGCTCGAGCGTATTGTCGTAGTCCGCGACCGAAACGTTTTGACTATCCGAGTCCGACATAATTCTACCTAAAGGTCGGTCGGGAGTTAGTACAGGGTTCGGGAAGTTAGCTCGAAGTTAGTGCTATCCTACTTCTACGCTAAGTGAAGAATAAAGAAAGAGTAAAGAACTAGGAGCTTACCGAGTGAAGAAACTTGGAAGAGGATCTGAAGTTTTGCTTTGCTTGATCGGATTGCTAATCTGCTGCTCGGGACTCTCTGAGGGTACCGATTGCTTCAGAAGATTGAGGAAAGTTCAAATGAAGGCCTCAGGAACCTATTTATAGGAGAGCGTTTGGGCGGGAAAATCATCCACTTGCGTGACATGACCAGCGCTGATTCCAAGGCGACGGTTGCAGTCGCAGAGGCCGGCAGTGGCCGACACGTGGCGAGGAAGGGAATGACAGCTGGCCGGTCGGTTTAGCGGCCGACGGTTGGGCTTCTTCATCCCGGCCCATTTTTTTTCCGGACGATCAAAAAGGCCCGGGCTGGGGGGCTCTTGGTAGGGAATACCCTGACCGACACAGCTTCACCACGACCGAGATGCCTTCGTCCTTTTCTCTTTGTCTTTGCAGGTAACAGGTCGGGCTCCTTGTGAAGAACCCGGTCGGGGTCCGACCGGGAATTGCCCGAACCGATCCTGTCGACCACCGAGCGGTAGCCCTTTGGCAAGAGAGCTGACGAAAGACACGTGGCGATTCTCTACGACGACAGACAGGGCACCCGGGAGGACGACACGTGGTGGCTACGTGGAGGACATGCCGAACGGCTGGAATCCTGTCCCCGGCATAGCGGCTATAAATACCCACAGTAGCTACAGTGTGGGGGACTTTTGGACGATCGATAGGTTGTTGTTAGAGAATCCCGACCGCACGCAGTCGGTACTCAGAGCAACCAAGTAGATTGTACTTAGGGCCTCTACTGTGATCAATAAAGTCATTTACTTGCTTTAATTGGTCTCGGGTTATTACATATTGCTTACGTATAATTAGCAGTATCAATAACAAAATATACATACTCTTTTTAAAAGATAATACACATAATCTAACATAATACATAATAAACATAAACTTTTAACATAATACACATCAACTGTTAATATAATACACACTTTCTGATTCCGATGTACATAATTGTATAAAAAGAATGTACATAATTGTATAAAAAATGTACATAACTGTATAAACAAATATACATAATTGTATGAACAAATATACATAATTGTGTGAACAAATATACATAATCACAGCAACTTCCTACCGCGCCTCCCAAAACGATGTCGTTTTGGGAGGCGCGCAGTGCACACTGCTACGCGCGCGGTGGTGTAGGATATAACGATTGATTCCAAATAGTCTCCCACCACCCACCAACCACCACCGTAGTATACGACCATATTCCCCTACATAACGCTGCGTTTCACAAGCTTCCCGGCCGCAGCAACGTGGACTGGTTGTCTTAACCTCGGAGGGATCGTTTCGGGCGGCCGGCTGCGGTCCACTCTAGAATTGTCATGACCCTCTTCAAGCGGAAGTCATGACTTGCAAAGAAGTACTATCTTGGCTCGTCGGCTATTAACGAGTTCAGATTGGTATAGCTTAATTAGATCTTTTCTTTAAATTATCTAAATTCGGTTATGGCTTATGTTATGTTGGTTTAATCATTAGTGCTTGTAAACCGTTATTCTAGCTCGTCTTTTGATTATGTTTGTTCTATTGGTCATCTTCGTAAGGATGCAAACCGCCCAACCCATACTATGGCTAAGGCTGTTAATTTTGGTTCTGTCCGTACCTTTTGGGACGTTGCTCCTCTGGTTTTCTTGGCCGCTTTGCTAAGCTAATATAGTTACTTGGGTTTTTTGCCTTAAAAAAAAATATTATAGTGGGTTTGTTGGTTAGTTTCAGTTTTGATTTTTTTTTTTTTTTTTTTTTTGAAGGGAGTTTCAGTTTTGGGTTATGACTGAACTAATATTATTTTTGGCTCCTAATTATTGAATATGTGAAACTGAACTAAATGAACGTTTGATTTAATAAATATTATTAGGTAATATAACATTTTCGAAAATCTCATATAACATAAGAAATTGAGGAAAATGATCTTTCTATAAAGGTGGAAAAATGAATAAAAAAATTGGAATCTTACCAATCGTTATGCGTTGGACCTGTGTCCAGCATGCTTGCTGGACACGGGTAACAGTGCCGTTAGGCACTGTTATCTCCTTTTTTTTTTTTTTTTTTTTTTTTTTTTTAAATGTCAGACCGTTTCGTTATAGAAGTATATGTTCATAATTTTATTACTATAGGTTAATAATTGTATATTCATAACTCCATACTGTACGTTCATAACTCTATAACTGTACATTCATAACTCCATAACTGTACATTCATAACTCCATAATTGTACATTCATAACTCCATAATTGTACATTCATAATTTTCGAAACTCCATGTTCACAATTTTAGAGCTCTATGTTCATAATTTTATCACTATATGTTCATAATTGTAAGTTCATAATGTTAGAGCTCTTTGTTCATAATTCGATCAATAACTGTACATTCATAATTTCATAACTGTAGATTCATAATCTCATAACTGTAGATTCATAACTCCATAACTGTAGATTCATAACTCTATAACTGTACATTCATAATCTTCGAAGCTCTATATTCACAATTTTAAAGCTCCATGGTCATAATTTTATCACTATATATGTTTATAATTGTAAGTTCATAATGTTAGAGCTCTGTGTTCATAATTTCATAATTGCATAACTGTACATTCATAACGGCATAACTGTACATTCATAATCCAAAAAAAATAACGCCGTTAACAGCAAAACGCGCACGACTTTTTTTTTTTTTTATTTTTTATAACTAAATGACTCCTTTTTTTTTTTTTTTTTTTTTTTAAATGACGTCGTTTTGGGCCCGTGTCCATAGCTCATTGTGGACACGGGTCCAGGGCATAATTTGCCGAATCTTACCAATCGTTATATCCTACACCACGGCGCACATAGCACTGTGCGCCGCGCGCCTCCCAAAACGACGTCGTTTTGAGGTAGTGTTGGGAGGTGCGGTAGGAAGTTGCTGAGATTATGTGTATTTGTTCACAACGTTATGTGTATTTGTTCACAATGTTATGTGTATTGGTTCATACAGTTATGTGTATTTTTTATACAATTATGTACATTCTTTTTATACAATTATGTACATCCGAATCAGAAAATTTGTGTGTATTATGTTAAGAGTTGATGTGTATTATGTTAAAAGTTTATGTTTATTATGTACTATGTTAGATTATGTGTATTATCTTTTAAAAAGAGTATGTATATTTTGTTATATAATTATGTACATTCATGTATAACATTATGTGTATTCTAGTATAACATTATGTACATTCTTGAACAGCGGGTTTTTTTTTTTAAAGAAAAAACTACTGCCATTCACTGGGGCGGGAAATTTAAAAAAAAAAAAAAATTAAAACGACGTCGTTTTGCATCTGGGCACATAGTGCAATGCGCACCGTGGTGTAGGATATAAATTGCCACCTAACCAAAAAGGACATATAACATTCAAACACATTTATTGTATTGATAATAAAACCCATTCTAATGGTTTGATGTATTTTTAAAATTATTTAAAATTTTAATAAATTATTAATTTTCTCCCTAAATTTTTTTTTTTCTTAACATAAATCTTTTTGTATTTTTTTACAAATAAAATTAATGTATAAAAAATATATCATTAAAAAAATCAATTAAATGACACTCATTGATATTTATTTTTATTTTTTAATTAACATATAATTACATTAAGTCACTATTACAAGTTCATTACACTACTACCACATGTTTATTACTATAGGTTTATTAAGTCACTACTACAAGTACATTAACTCACTCCTACATGTTCATTAAGCTATTATTACAAATTCACTTCTACAAATCCATTAAGTTCATACTACAAGTTTATTAAGTCACTATTGCAAGTTCATCCATCATTACTATAAGTTGATTAAGCCACTAAGCTACTACATATTTATTAAATCTCTACTACAAGTTTATTAAGCTGCTATTGTAAGTTCATTAAGTCACTACTATAGGCACGGGAGGAGTTAGAAATCTTTTTCACTGGGAGCGGACAATTGAATAACATCAACATGCAATAAAAATTATTTTATGATAAAATTTGAAATGGTTGGAATAAATTACATATCATCTCTATCTTTAGGAATAATTGTTATATAGATTTTGATGATGTTACATATTGTATTTTAGGAACTTAGACTCCCCATTAATTCGTTTTTGTAAAAGCCATGTGAGAAATTACTTAGTTGGTGGAGGTCATGCCTCTGGTAGACCTTAGTTGTATGAGAGTGGCTCGATAGATGTGAAAGGTTGCCTAAAGATTGTTGACTGTGCTCCCTATCTACAAATAAACCTTATTCGACAAACCTCTCTTGGCATATGACGTCAAACGGTAGACCTAGGCTATGTGTTGTAAAGGTCTTCCGGTAGATGTGTTAGCATCTGAACTTTGTTAATTACTCAGAACTACTAAGTCTGAACCCATCACACCTTTGTCAGGGTCATCCGGTCGAGAAGTACAAAGTGTGCAAGTAATCTCTTTTGTCTTTTCTTGATAAGTGTTGCTGAACACGCTCTTCAATGACTTCTAGCACCAAGTTATCTTCTGACAAGGAGCAAACATGCTTTTTGGTCTTTGGACAGATTAGTTACTGCCTTGTTCTAAAATGGAAATAGCTTTTACCCAAAGATCAATAGCATGTAGTGGGAAAGAAGGAAATGACAACTTTTGGACACCTACCATTTCAGAAGGTGCCAACGGTAATTTTTCAAATGTTCAAATATCTAGGCCTTAAGAATTCGTGCGTATACTCGTATGAAAAAAAATTAAAAAACAATTTGAAGCCAATCATATTAACTACTTGGGGAGGATTTGTTGACAAAGAGGGTATTCAAATAATCCAAAAAATTAAAGCGAGAAACTACTCTGTAATATCTCTGGACTACATATCACAGTTGTTCACTTTAAAGGTAAATCATATTTCTTTATTAAGTTGATTTAAAATGTATAAATTTATACTACCTTATCTAATCTTATTCCTTAAATAAACTAGAAATTTCTCTATCCACAATAACTCATTCAACAATAAATGGTTGAACCAAAAGTACCTTGAGCAGAACATCTAAATGACTGCTTGTATGCGTTTATGCTGGTAATAAAATGTAAATGGTAATTAGATCATTATCTTACGTAGCTACATTTAAAACTCATTATTAAAATTAAAATACCAATGTAAGGCAATAGAACATTATGACACACTTGTGACTTGACGCATTGAAAAGATGCCGAGACTACAATAATGCTGCAATCAATATTGCAAATCCAGAAAATAAAGAAATTTCAAAAATAGCCACCGTTGCGGCATTCATTGATCCTTTATGTAAAATACTTATTGTGCATCCGTTAAATATATTAGAACTAAGGGAGAAGTGTCAAATAGACCCATCTACTACTTCGAAGTGTTCAATTCCCCCCACCATCTAAAATATATGCTAATTAGACACGCTTACCTTCTAAATTTGTTCGATTAGGTTTTTTTGCAGGTTACCACCAGTTTTCCATGATGTGGCCCGGTTACCCTTAGGTGGAATTGTCTATGTGGCATAAAAATAACAGAAAAAAATAAAATTTGGGCGAAATCTGAATAAGGAATTTTTTTTTTTATAAGAAAACAACTTGTTTCATTGATTTAGAACAGATCGCTTCTTCTGAATTCTTCATCCGCTTCATCTTAATTCTTCATCCGCTTCTTCTGAAATCTTCATCCGCTTCTTCTCAATTGTCTCCGGCACCGGCGCCTCCTTCATTGGGAAGCTTCTTCCCGGCCTTTGGCTTCTTCTCCGCCGAGGCTTTCTCGGCGCGCTGGTCTTCTTCTCCTCCGTCGGCTTCTCGGAGGCGAGCTTGTTCTTAGCAGGCTTTTTCTCTGCTTTGGGAGCCATGGAAATTCTTTGAAAGGATTTGAGTGTTTTGATTGAGAGAAAAAGAAAACTGATTATTTGTGATTCTGAATAAGGAATTTAACACCTGATTTTCCCTAAAATTTATTCCCAAATTTTGAAAGCCCTAAAATTGCTGTCTCTGCTACGCATTTGCCGTTGAGGAGGAAGTCTGTTCACTCTAGGAGTCCACGAAGGGGATAAAATCGGATCCATTAGGGAATATCTTGGGCTCATGGAACCTCACCCTTTCTCTCCGATCTCTCCTCGTGCCCCAACATGTCTACATCGTCGTTTGTGACTCGGCCTCCCGTTCCATCTCTTCCATTGCCCTCGACCGCCTTGGCTTAGCGGGTGACTTGAGGTTATCCACGCTCACTGGGATTAAGCTGCTCAAAAACCTTAGTTGGTGACTTGAGGTTCTCAGCCATTGCCATCGACCGCCTCGGCTTAGCTCTAGGATTTGAATTATCTCATCTTGTCCGGTAACATTTTTTCTGGCGGCTTTCCGGGAGGTTTGCGCCGATTCCGACACTGGTGGGTGTGTTGATGATGAAGGCGGTGGCAGAGGTTGACTGGGATGATATTTAGGGTTTGCTAAGTAATTAGTTAATTACATGTCATTTAAATATATTTTCCACGTCAACCAGCTGGAAAGGCAACCTGGTGGTAACCTGCAAAAAAGTCTAATCGAACAAATTTAGAAGGTAAGTGTGTTTGATTAGCATTTATTTTAGATGATGGAGAGAATTGAACACTTCGAAATAGTAGATGGATCTATTTGACACTTCTCCCTAGAACTAATATAAATTTACAATTCATTTCATTTTCTAGACTCAACCTGTTTGGATTAAAGGCAAAATCAACATCAACCTTGACAACAAAAATACATAGTATTCGGACTACCATCAAAGTCCTTATATTGTTGTTACTGTTACTATCAAAGTAAACAAGCTAGTTATGGAACTATAATAAGAGGTACTACTCATAATCCTTTTACAAATATAATAAATATTAATATTTTGTTCAATACTTTCACATGAGAATCTACGACACACATCTCACAACAAATGAAACATGTAGGGGAAAAAATTACCACTTCCAAATATCAATAGGTGTTTGCAAGATCTAAGAGTTCATAGTACAACTAAGATCTCAGTCATATACACAACAAGGCCAATCCACAGCTTCCTACACCATAATCTCATTCCATGACATTGTCCTCTATGCTACCACCAATAATCCAATTGCACATGACACTACCAATAAAAAAGAATATGACAAGTACTGAAGATGAAGATAATGACAATGCTACCCAAAAGAGAACTAAGGGGGGTGTATTTAATCATGACTTTTGTAAACTTTTAAAATGATAGATTTTTTTTTTTGGGAAAAAAGAGGGGGAAACCCGCAGATCGTTAGACGACCATCACTGTAGCATTCTCGCCAAGAAGGCCTAACTCATCCTCCCGAAGAATTCTCTGAATAGCAATAGGAGGTCTTTCAAACCAAACGAAGTCATCGCTTTGATTGTAGGCGTTGATGGTCATTGAGTCTGCCACTTTGTTTTGTTCTCTGGGAGCGTGAGTGAAAGATATCTCCCAGTCTCGCGTTTTTGCAGCTCTGCACAGCTCCACCAAATTGCTTGCCGTTCCATCGTAATTCTCTGCACCATTGATTAGAGATATGGCTCTAGTGCAATCTGCTTCAAAAGTTACTCTTCTATAGCCCATCTCCCACGCTTTCTCGACGCCAAAGAGGATGCCCCAAACTTCCGCCTCCAAAGCATTACATACGCCAATTTTCTTCGAGAAAGCACCTAAGAATTTTCCTTCCTCATTTCTGATAACTCCGCCGCATGCAGCACGTCCCTGCTTTCGCGCTCGTATTAACTTTGATCCAGCCCGTCCTCGGAGGTTTCCATGGCTGGCTCCTTCTGTTGTCTCTTCTCTGTTTACCACCTGGTCCGGATCGGACTCCCTCATGAGCACGCTCTCAATATCTTTGAACTGTCTATGGAGCCAATCAATCTTTTGGCAAATGTCCTTTTCCACACCATTAAACACTTTTTCGTTATGCCATTTCCATATCCACCATGCCGTTATGGCGAATCTAGCACTCCTTTGTTTTCGTCTCTTTCCACCCGAACTACTACCTGCAACGTTACGTTCAAGCCATAAATTAAAATCCATGGGTTGATACGTACCTAGGCCATCGTCAATCGCGATCTGCTTCCAAACTGCTTCGGCTGCTGGGCAGCTTCTGATGGTGTGCTCCACGTTCTCTTTCTCCGCACCGCATATGCTGGCTGCATTGTTCATTCGCTGTAAAGCCTCTTTTTTTTCCTCTCGGTATTGCACATGATTCGCCCATGTTTAACTAGCCAAATGAACGGCCGAAATTGCCTTCCAATCGTAAGTGCTTTGGATTCCTGTGTGTTGGCGAGTCAGACTGTATGCTAATTTTGTGGAGAAGATTTTGTCTTCATTAGGGCCCCATCCTATACGATCATGTTTCCTTGCATCATTAATGAGGATTTTTACAGAAAGCTCCGCTCGTTTCTCTGGATGAAGCCCAATGTCAATTGCGTTCCAGTTCCAATATCCCCTTTCGTCCCAAACATCTACAATTTTGGTGTTTCCCGCATTTCTATTCAAGGGTCCAATCAGGAAATTCTTGAGGGGTTTTTCTCCGATCCAGTGGTCCTCCCAGAAACTAGTGTTTCTGCCATTTGCTACTACCTTAACTGCTCCTTTTTCAAGAATATGAGCAGCTGCACAAATTCCTTTCCAACTATTAGACTCATTTCTTTTACGTGTCATTTTAGCAATGCTCTTCTCTGTTTTCATATATTTTCAAGTTAAAATCCGAGAGCATGTGCTCGTGTCATCTTTGAGCACTCGCCACCCAAGTTTAGCTAGTATGGATAGGTTCATGCTTCTCATGGATTTGATTCCAAGCCCACCTTCCTCTTTTGGAAGAGTCACCGTGTCCCATTTAACAAGGCTAGTTTTCCTTTTGGTTCCGTCGCCGCCCCATAGGAAATTCCTTGTTGTTTTATCAATTGCGTCACAAACTCCTTTTGGCAAAAGCATGGTTTGCATTGCGTACGTTGGAATGGCATTTAAAACCGACTGAGCCAATATTTGTCTTCCTGCAAGGCTCAGAAAACGGGTTTTCCACCCTTCAAGTTTTACCTCTTACTCTGTCGAGGATGGCTTTGCAATGATCCTTAGTTACTCTCCCGTGCAGAGAGGGTACCCCTAGATATCTTCCTAAATCATCGGTTGCTGGTATGCCAGCTAGCGAAGCAATTTCATTCGCATCCTCCCTGCACACATAGTTAGAGAAAAAAAATATTCGATTTAAGCTTATTAATTTTTTGACCGGAGGACTTACAAAACCTGTCGAGGCATTCCATAATCGTGCATATCTGGTTTTCCCTTACTTGCTTCCGCAAACAAGACCATGTCATCTGCAAAGAAAAGGTGAGATATACTACTCGGGCCATTCCTTGACACCTTAATGCCTTTCCACCTCCCTTGAGTGACTGCCTCCGTAATAATGTGACATAACCGTTCAATGCATAAGACAAACAGGTAAGGAGATATTGAGTCTCCTTGCCTTACACCCCTTTCTGGTTTGAAACTATCAAGTTTCCGTCCTTCCCAAAGAATTGACATTTCTGCTCCCTCTACACAGTGCATAATATTCCTAGTCCAGGTATCATTGAGACTAACTTTGAGAAGAGTGTCCCTAATGAAATTCCAGTCCAATCTATCGTAGGCCTTTTCGAGGTCAATCTTCAAGACCATATAGCCATGTTGGTTCTTCTCAGTTGTGATGGTGTGAAGGATCTCATGATAAATCACTATGTTGTCCGTTATCTGCCTCTCAGACACAAAGCTCCCTTGACTAGGACTGATGATATTCGACATGATTAACTTGAGCCTATTTGCCATAACTTTCGTGATACATTGCAAAGGCTAGTGGGCCTTAACTGAGTGACTTTCTCTGGTGCTTGCACTTTTGGAATGAGAACTATGTTAGTGTCATTCATACCAGTTGGGAGGGTTCCATTCTTGAAGAAATCATCCACGAGGTTATACATGCTATCCCCAACAATTGGCCAAGACTTCTGGTAGAACATTGCATGGAGTCCATCTGGGCCCGGGGCCTTCAAAGGTGCCATTGCCATAAGCGCGTCACGTACTTCCTCTTTGTTCACGTCTCTGCTTATATGCATCCATTGTTCCTCCGGAATGGTGGGAAACATACCCGTGAGGTCACTAGGGGTGGGTTCATCGTGATCTCGCCTATACAAACCTGTGAAATACATTTGGACCATTTCTTCAATTTTTTCCTTATCACTAATCCACTCCTCATTCTCATTTTTTCTGGCCCGACGTATCATGGTTGCAGCGTGGTAATACTTAGTATTTAAATCCCCTGAGCGAATCCAGTCTTCTTTGGACTTCTGGAACCATTTTATTTCCTCTTGATGAAGAGCCTCCTCCAACTCTTTTCTAAGTTTCCTCTCGAGTGTTATGAGACCATTACTCGGACAGCTTCCCATGCAGCGTTGTATACCATCAATGCGTGCAGTAAGCCTCCTCTTCCGATTTTCAATGTTACCAAAATCAGTCATATATGTTCTAATCCCTGCAGCTAGTTTGTATATTAGCAATATTCTCTGTAATATTATCATTTGTGCGCCAGTTCCTTTGGATCATTTTCAGGAATTCGGGATGTCTTGCCCAGGCTGCTTGGAATTGAAAGCGTGAAGCTCTGCCTGTTGCTGCGGTAGCGCCGATCTCAATGAGGAGAGGAGAATGATCTGAGCAGACCCGAGTCAAAGCGTCACTTTAGTCCCCGGATGATTCGAGAGCCACTCCACATTCGACAGTACGTGCTCGGTCTAAACGAGCGCAGCGCCAGTGAATGTAGCTTTTTCCTTCCCTCTCGTCCATGCATATGTAAACTGGCACCAAAAAAACCTCCTAAGTCAATTAAGCCTTGTTTAAAAATCCAATATCTCATGCATACCTGCGCATCTGTTGTTGCCGAAGTTTCCCTTGTTGCTCACATCTTCCATGCATGTAACCGCATTGCATTGTAATCTCCAACCGACAGCCAACCTTCGTTCATGTTGAAGTTGTCATTTGAGAGCCCGTCCCAAAGTTTGTTTCTAAAACTGTGAGATGGACTTCCATACACAAAGGAGACGAGGCCCATGTTCCTATCCCCTTCTCCAATTCTGGTTAGAATAAATTGTGGGTTGGTGGCGATAATCTCCACCTTCATATTATTATTGTTCCACATGAGCCAATTCAAATACCTCCGCTAAAGTCGATAGCCTCAACCCTGCACCAATTATCATAACCGAAGCTTTTGCAAACCTTGTCTGCTGTTCCTCCGAAAATTCTTGGTTACAACAACCCCACTACATCAACTTTAAATTTGTTAACCAAAGAAGAGAGAGCACGTCTGAAACCATTAGACGCAGCTCCCTGGCAGTTCCAAGAAATAATCTTCATAGAAAAAGAAACAAACAACACATCCCAGAGGAAACACAAACAAAAGCACAAAAGAAGCCCTACTGTAGGGCAACCTGCAGACCATAAAGGGACTGGCCTTCTTCCACGCAAACCCCAACCATGGGATCCCCAGGCTTACCGTCATGAGCCGTCAAAGACGAGTTCAGGGGATCATGGTAGTGCTCCCCTCCCTCGTTTTGGAACTGGATAATCTCCATGGCTTCCCCTTCTTCAGAAATCGTGATTCTTTCCACCCTGTTTCCCTTATCGTAACCTCTTACCAGAGTATGACTTTCGGTCTCTACTGCTTGGTTCGACTGTTTATCGTTCTTAGTCATACCCCTTCTTCCTTCTTCTCTTCTGTTCATTGTTGTGCTTCCCGTCTTGTTCTTATTATTGTTCACTGATTTATCATTAGCGACTTGGGCCTCAGTTATTTGGACTTGGGGCCTTTTCCCTTTACCTGATAATAGGGCTCCTGTTGGGCCGTCGGGCCTTTCCCAAACGGGCTCTTCCTCTTGAAAATCGGATTCTGTTTCCTCTCCCATATTCTGGAGGGCTCCAAACCGTGAGTTATTCCAGATTTTGAATTCTCCTTCATTAAATTTCTTCCCGTTGTTCCCTTGATTTCCTCTTGTAGATGACTCACCTTTTTCCCCATTATTTTTCCCTTTATAGCGCTTAGGATCTGCCTTATTTTGGTAATTTCTGGATTTCCTCTGCGCTATCATCGACATTCCATATGTTCTTACTAACGGTCCCGGATTGCCTTGATTCACTGCGTTTTCCCCGCCAGCTTTCCATACTGGTCCATTCCTCATCTCCGTCTCTTTTCCGGCTGTCTGTGCCGCCACTGTGTCACCGGCCTCCGGCATGTTGACGCCTATCTCCGTCACCTCCATTTCTTCATGAATTCCGGGTGCTTTGCAGGCTTCCTTCCGGTGACCTACCATCCCGCATATGAAACAAACCAGATGGAGGCCTTCGTATTCTATCGTTCTGCGCTTGTTCTTTTATTTGAAACTGGCAATAAGAGGCTTTGTGATATCTATCTCCACGCAAACTCTCGTGAACAGACCCCTTGACGCCATGTTTGTTGCATGATCAACCTGTTGGGGAAACTTGCAACGCCAACGCGCGATCTGGAAGCCTTTTAAGACGCACGGACACTACGGATGTATGGTAGAAAGAAAATCTGTGCCGTGTTATAATAACACTACCTTAAAAGCGTTATTTGCCGAGTAACGGTGCAGTTAGAACCCTGGCACGCTTTCGACCGGCTACACAGACCTACTACGGATAACTTGCACTAGCAATCGCGTAGGCGAACCTCACTATTGCTCAGACGACGGGAGGGAGAAGGAGAATCGAATAAAGGACTCGAATTCAAGGTGTTTTTTGAAACGATGTTGGGAGCTGCTATTTATAGTAAGCAGCCCCCCATCCCTTCCACAAAAGGAAGGACGCATATCATCCACAAATAAGCGCAATATGCGCTGTTTCACATTAATAGCGCATGATGCGCTATCCACCCCTTCATTTCCCTTTGAAATTTTCCAACAATCCCCTACAAATTTAAAGGGGAAAAAAAAGAGTAAGATCTGAGCAATACAAATGAGTTGATCCTAGTGACACTGAGTAATCTTCTTCCCGGGAGTGATGTTAATCTTGAGCTCACCGGGTAGATAAATTTTGAACTCGAATGCACACACCAACTCAAAAAACAGGTTCTACAAAAGTCAAACTCTTTGACTTCTTATGAACACCCTTAGTATTAAAGAATGTTATGTCTGTCTCAAATATGGACTTCTACCTTGTCAAAGTCTATCACAAAACAGACTTTTAAATGCTCCCAATAATCCCCCCACCATTAAAGGGATTTAGGCTGACGCTGTCATTGCCTGATAACGATCAAAACAAAGTTTCATGCCAGTGTATAAAACTTGAACTGTCATATAGTGACATTAAGTACTTCTCTAGACGGGAGTGAATTTGATCTTGAACTCATCGAATAGACAAAGTTTGAACTCAACGCACTTAATTTGCTTTGGTCGCCTTGAATCTCATGAGGTCATACTCACGACCCTGAGATATCCCCTGTTAGGTCTATTCTAGGATAGACCTTCAACTCTGTCAAGTCTACCTCATCGCAGACCACCATGACCGGCTACAGAGTATCTATGGGTCCCAAACCCATTTCCCTTGATGTATCAAGGACGACCTTCCTGTTTAGGCCCTTTGTGAAAGGATCTGCAATATTCCTTTCAGATCTCACAAAAACCATTGTGATTACCCCATTTATTGTTAACTGCCGTACAGACTCATGTCTGACTCTTATGTGTCTACGTTTCCCATTGTAGACACTGTTTTGCGCAACACAAATGACAGTTTGTGAATCACAATGTGGTGAAGGTGTTGGACACCCCACAATTACACGGTTATCACCATGTTTCTTAGCCACTCAGCTTCTTGGGATAACCCCTATTATCTTTCATAAGAGGCGGTTAGCCCTTTTCTACACAAGTTAGGGATCTCTTTAGGTCTATCTCAACATGGACCATGGTAGCCCTTTTCCACTCAAGTTAGGGATCTCTTTAGGTCTATCTCAACATGGACCATCCCAATTGAGTATAAGGCACCAAGAGCACTTTGTACTCATGTCATTATGCGGTGAATTCATTAGGTTTGTCTCAACAAAACCACCCTTTCTCAAAGAGTTATGAATTCATTAAGAGTTGTAGCTCAACCTCACATGCGGTGAATTCATTAGGTTTGTCTCAATAAAACCACCCTTTCTCAAAGAGTTATGAATTCATTAAGAGCTGTAGCTCAACCTCACAAGTACACACACTGTCGGAATGACCAACTAGTGTGCTATTTTGTAACTCTTTTCATGGCTTCGTTTGACCACAGAAGTGGGATTCACCACGAATTCATTACCACTTGGACTTCAAGTCCTTCCAATGAGTCAACGACTAATCCTCATAATTAGCCCTCAAGTAAGTTGATTCTTTTGACCAAACTTACATGCATTTTGACGAGTACTTCGTTTACTCGTAAATAATCCCTTGAGATTTTCATGTTTAACATGAAACATTCTCTTTCATCATTATTCTCAATACCACAGAGAAACTTTTGATGAAAATATAAGGAGTTTATTACCCCCACAAGCAACACTTACAAATAATTTTGTCAAACGTATTTGATCTCTTACCCAGACTGATATTTGGTGCCCAACTTTAGCTCCTTTGTAGACTGAGTTTTGCCGACTTACTTTGTGAACCATTATAGCAGTTTTGCACTCTGCCTGATACATGCTCAACAGTTGAATATATTTCAACAAACTTGGTTATCTCAATTGATCACAATTACCCTTTAACTAGGAATTATAGGTATTTCAA